CATTGGTACAGTACTATTAATATAAACTACAGACCTTATTCACATTCCATCAGTTTCCCTCCAGTGCTCCTTTTCTATTTCAGGATCCAATTCAGGATCACATAAAACACCCAGTCATTATGATTCCTTAATTTCCTCCAATATGTGACAGTACCTCATTTTTTTCCCTTCTCTTTCATGACCTTAACACTTTCAGTGGGTACTGGATAATTACTTTGTAGAATGTCCCCCAATTTGGGTTTGTCTGATGTTTTCTCATGAATAGCTTGAAGTTATAATTTCCAACGAGAAAATTACAGAAGTGATGCCGTGTCCTTCTCAGTGCATCAGGTCAGAGGGTACGTGATGGTCAGTATCCTTATCACTGGTGATATTTACTTGGATCATTTGGTGAGGTGGTCTCCACTGTTAAGTTATTGTTTTTCTCTTTGTAGTTGATGAATGTCTTGGGAGAGATGCTTTAAGACTATACTGATATCCTGTTATCTGTAAACTTTTGCCCAGTGATTTTAGCGTTTGTAAATGGATCTTGCCCACATTTTTTTTTTCCTTGGTTTTTTGCTTATTGTTCTTTTTTTTTTTGGGGGGGCTTTTTTGCCTTGGGTTAAGAATCCTGAGTTGTTAACTCTTGGTTAAAGATAAAGAGATTTTTGCCCCCTTGGAAAGGTTTGGAAGGCTAGAGGGAGGTGTGGGGGCTTAAGTGGCTGACATACGGGGCAGTGTGGGATTGAGAGATTGAGTGATACTGAATGATGGGTGAGACTGGGACACTCGGAGGTGACGGAAATAAATAGGAATGTGCAAGACAGGATAGGACTAGTACTTAAAGGAGGTTATCCTTGGTTCTGAATTGGCACTTTCATAAAGTTAACTTTTGGTGAATATATATAAATTTGTGTAGATCAGCTTGGCACTATTAAGCATGGTTTAATCATGCATAGGCTGAGTGCAGTGGCTCATGCTTGTAATCCCAATACTTTGGGAGGCTGAGGGGGGAGGATCACTTGAGGCCAGAAGTGATCAGCCTGGGCAACACAGGAAGGCCCCACCTCTAAAAAAATATTAGCTGGGCATGGTGGTGTGCTCCCGTAGCCCAACTATTTGGGAGGTTGATGTAGGAGGATCACTTGAACCCAGGAGGTCAAGGCTGCTGTCCAGCCTGGGCAACAGTGGTGAGATCCTGTCTTCAAAAACAAAAACAAAAATTTGTATATCTCATTTATGTGAAACCTTAATTAGATAAATATTCCTACTTCAGGGTTTTTATATCCCTGAAAAGTTTATGTTTGACAATGATGTATATCCAGGATCTCACTTGGGAAAAACCATAAATATCCATCCATAAGAAATGTTCATGTATTATATTCTATATCATAAAAGCCAGTCTCGCAAAAGGAATAAGATATATTTTAATAATGGCAAAAATCTCGAAGTGTGGTTAGATGACAAAAATCTATTTTCGAACAAAAATATAGTATCACATCTTAAAGAAAAAATGTTAGGGGTTAGAAAAGCTGTATTAAAAACGTAAACACCAAAAATTTCCGGTGACTTAAGAACAAGAAGTTTTATATCTTTCTTGTGGAATGATCGGGCTCGATGTTTGAGTCGGGTTAAGCTTTTGCCCCTGGCCATAAAAGCTTCAGGCAAAAGGGATGGACTCTACTATCTTTTGCAAATGCCTTTGCAAGCCCACCATCATCAGTTAGAGGAGAAAGAAGTATTAAGATCCTGTGAGAGGTTATTGATTGTGGCATCACTTCAGCCTGGCCCATACATTTTACTCACATTTATTGACTAGAATGCAGCTATATTGCCTCTAGGTCCATCTAATTGTGTGTGGGAGGCCTGGAAAATGTGGTCTACGTATATATCCAGGAAGCAGAGAACCATTTTAGAGAACAGCCGGCATTCCTGCCTTATCCTAATTACCCTCCCCCCAAGGTAAATCACTGTTCATTTGTAGGGTAATTTAAGTAATTATTTATCAATTAATAGAAAGATCAGATAGAATACATACATGGCCAATTCATGATGTCCTTTGGGGAAAGGGAGTCAGGTTGACAAGAGATGTAAAATAGGTACCTGGGCACTTTTCGTTTATATTTTTATCGTAAGTTTCTATTCTATTTTCTGACCTGTATTTATGTGATTACTTGTGCAACTAAAATTAAATTATAAAAGACCCAGATAAATGAATGGGAAAAATTGCTAACATTATGTAATAGGTTTGATTACTTTGATTAAGTACAAGTTATTCCAGCATTCATACTCTTTCATGTTTTGTTTTATAATCTGGTTCTTCGTGATTCCTTAAACAGGTTTTTGTTGTATTCTCATAGATTTGTCTCACTTTTCACTTCAATGCTCTGGTAGTCTTTGTAGAGTGTGTGGAATGTCCATTTGCTCCTTACCAGTTATGTGAAACTGACCTCGAGCAAACATAATAACTTCATGATTGTCTTATAACCCATATTGCTAGAACCACATGGCAGAGTACTCAGGAAATATTTGTTTGCCTGCATGCAATACATGCGTGCCTGTACGAATGATTACTTACCTAATAACCCTCATGTGGCAAAGTTCAGGTTTGTTCTGAGCTATTGCAAAAGTACATGTAGAATGCATTATTAGATTCGTGGAGTTCCTAAGTCACACTGAGGTTTATTTCCAAATGTGTTATATAACATGAATCATTCCTAAGTTCAGAATATGTAGACTTTAAGATAATTATGCCATTGGATATCCATCTGTACTTACGTTAGTAGGTTTTTACATCACGGGGTGCTTTTAGAAACGCATGTTCACCGGATCCCTCCAGACGTGCTGAATTAGAGTCAAGGCTTAAAGGTCCAGTAATTTCTAGGAACGCATCCCACAGGTGATTACATGTATAACCAGCGCCACACTGGTTTCCCACTAGGCATTCTGGAAACTATGTTCCATGATCTTGGAATGGGATTGCAAGTCTCCTAGTAAACACCACTAGTCTGTGTGGGTGTTTTTTCCTTCTTTTTATTGAAACCATTCTTTTTCTTTTTTTTTTTGAGAGCGGAATCTGCTCTGTCGCCCAGGGCTGGAGTGCGTGGTCCGCGATCTCGGCTCACTGCAGGCTCGCGCTCCCGGTTTACGCATTCTCCTGCTCGCCTCCCGAGTAGCTGGACTACAGGGCCTGCCACTGGCCCGGCTAGTTTTTGTATTTTAGTAGAGACTGGGGTTTCACCTTGTTAGCCAGGATGGTCTCGATCTCCTGACCTCGTGATCCGCCCGTCTCGGCCTCCCAAAGTGCTGGGATTACAGGCTTGAGCCACCGCGCCCGGCCGAGAAACATTTCAAACACACAGAAAATATGTATCAACCACTAAGGCCATATTGTTAAGATATTACTTATATTTGGTTAATTAAAAAAATAAATATTACAGAGACAGCTGTCCCTCCACCCTCATCCTTTCCTTTTCTAGCTGAAGTTTCTTCCTTGCTTGTCACAGTGTTTTCTTTTTCACCGCTTTCTCCTATGGTCTGCACTCAGGATATTCAGAGATCTCATCCAAACTTCTGGCATCACTCTTCTTTTTATGCTTTTGACTGATGACTTCATAAAGCCCCAGACAGTGGGGCAGCTTCCAAACCCTGCAACTTCATTAGTCTCCTTGTCTATTCTGGGCAAGATAAGTAATCCAAGACAAATGGAAAGGCTGCTCATCTCAACTGCTGAATGTTTCTCAGGGTTTTGTTTCTCAGGGTTCTGTACGTTGCTTCACTTTTATTTCTTCCTTCCCCAGATCAAGCTTCTGACCTTTTTCAAATGCCATGTTCTACCTAAGTAATTATTTGAAGTGATGTTGGCACCTGTTTAATTTCTAATTCCTTGTTTTCCCCCTACACTGGATGCCATTTGTTCTTACCAGATACATTGCATTTCCTTTGATGCCCATGTCCTAAGTACTTGATGAATCAGATCTTAGCATTGGGCTTAAAATGTTAGGGGGAAGCAGAGGGCTAGCAGGAGGGAGGGAGGGAGATGGGAGCAGGCTGCACAAGTCTGGTGCAATATAAGTCAGTGCTCAATGAGGTATGTGGCTGTGAATGTGCAATGAAGAGATAAAAATCCCACAAATTACATGAGAAAAGGACAAAGGGATAGAAATTAATCAAGGGTAGGCAGAACGGGCCAGGCACTGAGGGTAAGGGCTAGGAAATAATTCCAGTGTTCTATGCTTGGCATAAGTGAGAGGGGAAATTGGGGTGGTGGTTTGGATTTTTAAGGTAAAAACAGAGAGCTTCTTATTTAAACTGAGGACATTTCTAGGTCAGTTTTTCAGAGCTAAAAAGAGATATTAGAAATGCAATCTAGAATCAGCAGCACTTTTTAACCTCTATGGAGACTTTTTCCCCTCTCTGAAACAAAATGCAAAGGAGTGTGTGTGTGTTTGTGTGTCAACAGAGGGTCCACTTTTGCTTTCAGAGTCCCAAAGGGCTCTGTGATCCATAAATGGAAAAGAGCTGCTGGATTAGAGGGTCTGTGTATCCTGACAGCGGTCAAAGCCATGAGGGAGATGAGATGAGAGGGTAAAGGGCTTAATGTAAGACTGGTGTGAAGCAGGATGTTGTAGGGCGTGAATGTTCCGCAGCTCCACCCTGAAGTCTGAGTGTTAAGCATTAAATGTTCAGATAGGAAATTAGGGCACCGTGCGGTGGAATGTGCTCTGAGAGAGGACTTGTATTTATGTCAGTAACACAAAGTGGAAAAAATGAGGCCATAGGTTCACCTTTCATAAACGTAGTTTTATATTTTTGAAATACTGTTCTTGAAGAATGCAATCTTGCAATCGCATTCTGTTTTGATTTCTACTACACCTTGTTCTCAGCGTTATTTTCTGTTCTGCCGAGGACAATTTTAGTCATCACCCAAATAAGTCTAGGTTAGTATCCAAAGGAACAATAAAGAATTATATTCATATTTTTGTGAATGCACTAACACCTGTTTGTGTTCCTGGTAGCAAAACCACTGAGTTCTTGAGCAAACTGAACGTAGAATCGCCAGACAGAAGTGCCTGTCAAAGTGCTGTTTGTGGCCCACAATCCTCAACATGGGTAAGTGAAATGCTATGCAGGGTGCTGCCTGGCACATCTTATAGAGGTATTTAGTGACTGAAGATTAGGGATATAGAGTGACTTGTACATTACAGAATGCTGGAACTAAAGACACATGACCTGATCTGAAACTTTGACCTCAACTGTTGCCTGAGCTATACAATAATGCTTGTATTATTTTATGGGCACCTGGACTAAAACAGCCTCAGAGAAGTCCTTCCTCTTACCCAATCATTCATTTACCCACCCATCCACCCATCCACCCATCCATCCATCCTTCCATCCATCCATCCTTCCATCCATCCATCCTTCCATCCTTCCATCCTTCCATCCTTCCATTCTTTAAATTCATAGGTCTATATAAGGCCTACTGAGTGCCTACAGTTTCTGCCCAGTGAAGCTTAGTAAAGGAGAACACCATTGGTTTTAAAGCAAACTGCTGAGCACAGAGCATATCACAATACGAGAGCACTACTGTCTTATCAGGAAGAAGCATCTAAGTCAGACCATGTGTGTTAGATGCTTCCTGGGAAATGACACCAGAGCAGAAGCTTAAACTATGAATCTGTAAAGTGATGAGTCTTTCCAGGTATCAGAATTAATAAAGATACATAGAGCAAGAGTTAAGGTATAAATGCAAGAAATAAGTATGGCCTGTGTTGCAGAAGAAGAGTTATGTAGCTGCAGTGCAGAAAAGTGAGCTAGTAGGATATAGAAGTGAGCAGGAACCATGAGGACCCTTTCCCAGTGGTGTTACCTCTGGAAATTCAGATGGGACAGTTCATTGTGTGAGTTGTCTTGAGTCCTGCAGGATGTTTAGTACCCCTAGCCCCTGGGCATGAAGGGCTAGTAGCGCCACCCAGACACTGAGACATCTAGAAATGCCCCCACACAGTGCTTACCAATGAGACATGTAGAAATACCCGCATACTGCCTGCTCGTGGTGCTCCTGGTAGAAAACCACCACAGAAATTTGCATGCCACCTTGAAACACCTGAACCTCATTCTGTGAGTACTGACGGTATTGAAAATTTTTAAACAGGGAAATCTCAGGGTTGGATTTGTGTTTTCATTCTGGATCACGTTGGTAACATTGCAAAGGATGGCTCTAAAGGAATAGAGAAGCAGAGAGGCCGCCCAAGGCTTCTGTATCAGTCTGGGTGAAGGATGATGAAGACTTCAGCCAGGACAGCAGGGGAGAGGATGGAGAAGAGAGTGCAGGTCAGAAAACTGCTTAGAAGGTGAAAGCAGCAGGGCTTGGTTATTGACTTGCTAATTGGAGACAAGAAAGTAAGTGTTATTAAGGATGACTCTGGGTAAGGGTTGTAGCTGAAAGAAAAGATGAATTTACGTTTCTTAAAGTCTCAGGTTTCTCAGGGTTTGGGTAGCTAAATCAGTTGTTAACCCTTATCTTCATCTCCCCTTACCGCTTTCTCAATAGAACCCTCATCTTCATCTCCCCTTACCCCTTTCTCAATAGAACCCTCATCTTCATCTCCCCTTACCCCTTTCTCAATAGAACCATCATCTTCATCTCCCCTTACCCCTTTCTCAATAGAACCCTCATCTTCATCTCCCCTTACCCCTTTCTCAATAGAGACTGTGTTTTTAAATGTCAGGAAGATATTATGACACTCCTTAGGAAGAGGTCATTATACTCCTACTGAGAAACCTTTAGTTGTTTCCTATTTTTTTTTTTTTTTCTGCTTCTAATGTGATGTTCTAAAGTCTAAATTCGTGAGTGTGGGCCCTACAAGTTATATTAAAGGAAATCCATCATCTCTTCCCTCACTGCAGGGCTCTGGGGGAAAGAGTTGAGAGCTGTAGGCAGTGGAGTTAAATCATGTGTAGATGGCAGCCCTAAACACCCGTCTGGATATCCTTGTGGCCGTGAGGGAGGGAGAGGGAGAACAGGAGTTGGATAGCTTTACCAACTGGATTTTCGCCTACCAGGCTGGTCTTCCTTTCCGTTTGAGGGCTCCCTGTGTCCTGTGATGTGGAACACCTGGCAGAACTGCGTGTGCTGCTCTATTGATTTTGGCTCATTTCTTCAATTTAACAGGATCATCCTGAATTTTAATACTGTCGTCCAAAGCATTAGCAATGTTTCCCAGAGCTGCATTTTCTGTGGATTGATTAGTGCATTTGTCATAGGATCCTCAGAGCTATTAATAGAAAATATGGAGTGGGATTGGACCCAGGATGGTTCCTTATAAACTGCACGCAATAGCTGCTCTAATTTTGACCCCAAACTGTTAATACAGTTTCAGTGTTCAATATATTTAATTGACTTTTTACCCATATTATACTCTTCTCATTCTGTCTAATCCATATGCATAGAATTCTTCTGAGAATGCTTTGCAGAACCACTTCTAATGCTTTAGGAAAATCAAATATGTACCTTGCACTTCTGTGAAGAACATTTCTTTGGAAAAAGAGGACACCTGCAGTTTACTTTAGCTATGGCCAACGTATAGAATGTGAACGCTATGTGATTCCCATCTATATGGGGTGTGATGAGTTGGAAGAATTTATATGTATATTTTTAATACTTTAATTTTACTGCCTAATGTAACTTTCCTAAGATTTTTCCTCTTGTGCTTTTCTCCTTTAAAAGTGGATCTGCCGTTGGCAGATTGGGATTTAATAAATACTGGAAAATTATGTCAATGTAAAAGATTACAAGAAAAATCCTTTAGTGGTTACAAGAAAGTTCCTTTTGGCTTAGGACTTCAGACAAGAGATATTTACAGGGTTCACTTTTACATGTGGATTAATGCAGTTCTCTGTATTGTGTGGGTAGGCAGAAGTACCAGCATCATCAGACCTCCCTCAGCAACCATCACTGCATATTTCTAGTTAAATGCGAAATGGTTTCTAGTCTCTGGTTTTATGCCCCCACTTTTTTTTTATCTTTTATTTTTTAAATTTTTGTAGACAGGGTCTCACTCTGTCACCCAGGCTGGAGTGCAGTAGCGTGATCTGGCTCACTGCAACCTCCACCGCCCAGGCTCAAGCCATCCTGCCACCTCAGCCTCCTGAGTAGCTGGGACCACAGGCATGCACCCTCATGCCCTGCTAACTTTTGTAGTCTTTGTAGAGACAGGGTTTTGCTACATTGCACAGGGTGATCTCAAACTCCTGGGCTGAAATGATCCACCCACCTTGGCCTCCCAAAGTGCTGGGATTACAGGTGCGAGCCTTACGCCTCTACTTCCTCAACAAAGAATAACGATGTGAAAAAATCTCATCCTGGTGTTTCACTTCCCCAAATCATTCAGTGGTCCCCCATATCTTCAAGGATAAAATCAAAATGTCTTAGCTTAGGCACAAAGCTCTTTCCTCTCTCTGTCCCTCCCTCTCTCCTTCAATTCTAGATTCTGTCTCTTTCTTTACAATGGCCCCTTTTTAGTCCTCTAGGGTCTGCAGGACTGGCCTCGAGTCTAAATCTTTGCTTCTGCAAAGGAGTAAGGGGAAGCAAAGCTTTTGCAAGCAAGGCAAGGGGAAGCAAAGCTTTTGAAATCAGGAGCAAAGATTTCAATGCAGATCAATCTCAGGCCCCACTGCAGGCCTCCTGAATCAGAGTTTGCATTTAACACAATCCATGGGAGATGTGTGTGCATGTTGATGTCTGAGGGGCTGAGCTCTCTAGCTCGTGCCTCTCCAGCTGTCCTCTCTCACGCTACTGTGAGCACTCAGTGCGGGTTGGTTATTGTAATTTTTATCTACGTGTCACATGCTCATTCATTACGAAGTTAAATAAAATACTTACTATGTGTCCCTTTGCTCCACTTGAATTCCACTTCCACCCCAACACTTGGAACACTTAGCATTTCCCATTGCTGCTGTAACAAATTACCACAAATGTAGTGACCTAATAGAACAAACATTTATTCTCTTACACTTCCGGAGATCAGTAATAAAAATGAGTTTTAAAATGCTAAAATGAGGTTATCAACAGGGATGGTTCCTTTTGGAGGCTCCAGGGGGCATCTGTCCCCTGTCCCCCCAAACCCTTGGCACATGGCTGCATTGCTCCAGTTTAGCTTCCATCTCACCCAACCTTCTGCACCCTCCCTGACCTTCTTGGCTTCCTCTTATAATGACCCTTGTGATTACAATGGGCCCACCTGGACCATCCAGGCTAATCTCTTCATTTCAAGATCCTTAATTTCTGGAAAGTCCCTTCTGTCATATAAACATTCACAGATTCCAGGGATTGGGACATCTTTGGGGGGCCATTATGCAACCCACCACCTGTTTCTTTTCTTAGCTCTGAATATCTGTTAATATGTGTTGATATGTCTTGACTAATCAATTTTAGACCTTATTAACTCATTTCTTCCTCTCATTCTTAAAATTATTCAGTAATTTGAGCTTTCCCTTTTATGACTATATAAACATTTTCTCACTGCCAAGCCAGTTGGTATACTGTGGTTATATCTTCCTGTAAAACTCTTTGAACATATTTTATTTTAGCGTTTTCTTAGTTTCCTTTGAACATTTGACGGTCTTCTGACAGCTTTTGTGACTGTTCTACAAAATGCCTCTTGATGCAGATTTCTAAACAATTTTCCAACTTACACCTGTCAGATAACCTGTCGATTTTTTTTTTTCCCTCTCCCTCCTGGATCCCTCTTTCCTCCTGCTTTAACCTGTCCTGGGTGTTTGTAGGCCTGGTGCACAGCCGTTGTTCTGGGACTTTCCTTTAACACAATAGTTCTCAGCCTCCTCTGCACACTGGATTCACCTAGGGAGCTTTAAAAATCATAGACACCTGGGTTACACCTCCAGAGAGCCTGCTGTATTGTGGCCTGGGCTTCAGGGTTTCAAAAAGCTCCCCGGGTGATTCTAATGTGCAGCCAAGGTTGAGAATCACTGTTTTAAAGTTATCTTGGGAATTGCTTTTATTACTTTCCTAAGTTGGGTTCTCTGATTTCTGGGCCTCATTTCTTCTATTTTCTTGCTTTATTTCTTTGTTTTGGTGGAGCATACTACTTAGTAGCTTCCCAAGAGAAGACACGTGGAAGGTAAACATGTTCAGGTCCTTCCATGTCTGAAACTATCTTTATTCAGCTCTCACACTTTGCTTGCATTTTTATTGATGACTATTCCAAACTCGGGACCATACATCTTGTTCTCTCTCGTACAAGAACATTTCTGCTGAGGCACTGTGCTCTTCTAACTTTGCGGTACACCTGGTTCCTGAGAGATCAAGGCCATTGAGACCATTTCAGCGCTTATGCTGGGGATTTTCTCTCTTATCCCCTATAAGCATAACTTATATATCATCTTTCTTTTTCTTGGCTTTCTGTAATGAGCAGTGGATTTTAGTGTGGAAAGTCGTTTTTAAAAATTGATTTATTAATCTAGAAATTCATCTCTGCAGTATAGATATTTCTTGTGTTATCCTGTTTGATTTACATCCCTCTTCATTTTCTCTTTTTGGAATTATCTATCATTAAATTGTAGACCTCTGCCTGGGTTTGATTCTAACTTAGAGATTTTCTCCTGTAAGTTAATCTGTGATCTCATCTTTTTCTATATTCTTCTGGCATATTTTCTTGACCTTTATCGTTCTAAATATTTTGACCTGGATATTTGGGTTTTTTTGGGGGGAAGAAGGGGAGATTTAAAAAAAATCCTAACTTCTCCAAACTACGCTTCTTGTGTTCTCTGGGTTTTTCAAACTTTAAAGATATAGTAAGGAGGGGTAATGCGCATCATACTGTATAGTAGCGTAATAACGTATAGCTACTGTAGGAAAATTTGCCTTATCCTCTCAGAAGAAACACCGTAAACACAAGAAAACTCCAAGAGAGGAGCTCGGCCACTGGTCAGCTACTGACGGACTTATAGAGGATCTTGTCATTCTCGCCCTGGCAATTTTCCACTGGCTGCTGTCCTTTACATGTGTATGGGCCACACAGTTTAGTTTCTCTCAGAAGAACATACACCTTTTCATCTTCCTATTGGTGGTTCGGTGACATAGCACCGCATTTCTGCAAGGCGGAGCAGTTAATTGGGGCGCGTGAAGGACTTCTACTGAGACTGTTCTAGTAACTCCTTTTCTTTCGCCTGCCTGTTAACTCCCAGCCTGCTTCCTCAAGCAGCGATGCCGGTCCAGTTTCTTTGGCCCCTCGATGGTTGCTGGCGCGTCGAGAGAAGCTGGCTCCGTGGTGTTGCATTCATGGCCCCTTCCAGCAACGTCTGGCAGGTTTGCTCTTTTCCTCTCTAAGTCACTTACTGTTTCTTTATCTACTTTGTCTTCGTAGATTTTCCTCTGTGAATATGGATCTCTTGGTTTTTGAAGATAGAGCTTGTGTATATTTCATTTTCTGCTCTGTTTCGGGTAATTTTGGGGAGAATGGAACAGGAATATCTTTACTCCACCATCCTGAAAGGAGAACTTAATGCTTGTCATGGGTTGAGACCCACACTTCTCAAAATTTGTGTGGAAGCCCTAACCCCTGGCACCTCAGAATGTGACCCTATTCAGAGGTAGCATCTTTACAGAGGAAATAAGTTAAAATGAGGCTCCTAGGTGGGTTCAAATTCATTATGAAAGATGTCTTTATAAAAAGGGGAAATCGGGACACAGAAGCATGCATACAAGGGAGAGGGTATGAAGACACGCACAATGAAGATGGAGTCTGCAGGCCAGAAAGAGAAGCCTGGAACAGATATTTCTCACATGACTCTCAGAAGGAACCAACCCTGAAGACACCTTGATTTTGGACTTTTAGCCTCCAGAACTATAAGAGAGTAAATTTCCGTTCTTTAAGCCACCAGTATCGTAATACTTTGTTATGGAAGCCCTAGCAAACTCGTGCACTGCTGTTTTCCATTTGCTCATTTGATGCTCTTCTCCTTGCATGGTCTGATTCCTACTGTCTCTTTGAAATATAACTTAGTCTCACTTGATTTGGAAAGTGTCCTCAATCTAGTTTAATTAAATATCCTTCTTTTTGGCTTCCTCTATCATAATACCTATCATGCTGTACTGTAACCTTTGATCTTCTAGTTTGACTTTCACACTAAGCTATAAATGCTTGAGGTCTGAAATCGTGTCCTGACACAGTGCTTGCACAGAGAAGGCTTAAAGACTGTTAATTGAATGAGTACATTATAAGCATAGCTTTTGGGGAGGATAAATAAAAGTGTATTTTAGTTGAATGACAAAATATAGCATTGATATTGTATTAAATGGATATTTCAGTGTTAGAAAAATTGTGTGAATACAGTGACTTAGAAATTTCTGGTGTTTAGAGCTAAGAAAAATAGTGATCAATTTATTCCCTTCTATTATTTTTGAACAGAAACTTCCTGTCCTGCCTAGGGATCACAGCTGGGTAAGCAAGCATTAGGATTGCAAGTAACTGAACTTTTCATAAGTTCAGATGCCATGTGACTTCCCAGTTTCTGTGGACCTTTGTAAGGCACCTTATTTAATAATAAGGTATTTAAGAACCACTTTTTTCTGAGTCAAAAACTAAGACGTGTATTCTAATAAAAGAACGGCAAAATGACAAGTTTAAAGGGAGGCTATTCAGATAGAATTTAGATATCTCATTCAAGTTGTAATTTTGCATTAACTAAATATTTTATTCTACCTTTTAATATCTTGAGTAGAAGCTGTCTTCTTTCCTTTCCTTCCTTCCTGTCCTCTCTTCCCACCCTCCTTCCCTGCCTCCCTTCCTCCCTTCCTCACTAGGTCTTATATGGAATATTTGTGATAAAGACTAGCCTTCTCTAATATAAAAAGAAGGGGTTATCAGAAATAAAAAGAAGGGATTGTCAGAGAATCACTTTTCCCTTCCTATGTCTTAGCACAGTCCCCTTGAGTTTAGGATGCAAATAAGAGAAGGTCATAGGATGTATGTTTACCTGCCCAATGCAGCAGGATTTGGGTAAACCAGGGATTTCTGAACACATGAAGCTCCAGTTTTCCAGCTGGCAGTACCGTAGATGATACCATTTTGAAAGCTTCTCTCTTTTCCTGGGAAGTGGTTCTTATTATTTGATGGTATGTGGGTTTTTACAGTGACAGAAATGGGAGAGTGAACTAAGAAGTGCTTGCGAAAAGTTATATAAAAGTTCATGTAGGTTGGAAAAAGGGGGAACCAGCCTACCTGAACTTTGTGGGTTATTAGTCCTGAGAACTAGGTCTGAAATATGTAACCTGCTGCCAGGATGCTGCTGGTAGTTTTTTTTATGAGATCCATGTAATTTCCTAAGCATTAGCTCTTTGCCTTACAGAAGCTGGGGCTGCAGATCAATTGAAAGAGAGAAAGCATATGACAAATAAACAGAACACTTGAAATGCCATACATTTCAGAACACACGGTCACTGTGCCCGGGTGTGGAACTCTGGTGTGGTGGGTCAGAGACACTGAAGGGCATTCTCCCTCATGTGCTGGCTTGCCAAAGGCTTTGGTGTCATGTGTTCCTGAACAGGCTTTGTTTTGCTTTTCAGAAATAGAAATAAGCTTCATTCAGATGAGGGATGCAAGCACTTAGAAAATATGCATCCTTGAAATTATATGGATCCTTGAATTATATATTGTCATATATATGGATTTTATATGGATCCTTGAATTATATGCATCCTTGAATTATATATTGTCAACCACTAGTTGACAAGCTGCTTAATCAGATATCATTAATGAGCAGTAGACATGCCAGTTCTTCTAAAGACAGTGCCACTGTTGCTTGTCTTTAATATTGACTGATCAACTAGTTGGAATATTCTGGAAAATGTCCTAAACTTTCCACTAGAAGGAATAAACTATGTTGATTATCTCTGAGGGGATATTTTTAAAGCTTAATTAAACATTTTGATTATCCTTTCAAATGTGCAGGATGATTGTGCTTACACTCGTTTTCTTTTTGTATATCCCAAGGGACATTTTCAGACATTTGCATAAATCACTCAGTAACCAAGTGTGTATGGAGAGCTTACTATATGCTCAGTATAGAGGTTGAGTTATTAGCACCAGGCCCATAGTAGGCAGCTTGGTGTACTGTGACAATACTTTATCCTATCAAGTTGTTTTTTTTTTTTTCTCTCTCTCTCTCTCTGTACCTTTACAGGCCAGAAGCTGGGCTTATAGAGATTCTCTAAGGGCAGAAGAAAACAGAAAATTGCAAAAGATGAAGGATGAACAACATCAAAAGGTACTTACAAGCCCCTACTAGTTATTGCTAACTGTTTATTTGAGGTACTAGATAATTTTGAAGAATTTCTGAACAGAAATATTTAGAAACATAAAAATTCTGAAAACAAGAATACAAGCATTGAAGATAAAAGGTGAGTTTCTGAATGTGTCTTAAGAGTATGGTGGTGGCTCCTTCTGGTCAAAACTTTCATGGTACCTAGCCTCGTGGAGTCACAGGGGATCTGCCGTAGTTGGTGCCAGTAGGTCACAAAGAAGATGATAGAGCACTGGTGAACTTCTCATCTGCAAAACAAAACACCACCACCATCGTTGCTATTTTTAAACCAAAGATACATAAAATTAGAGATGGTATCCAGAGAATGTGATACTGTATAAGAAAGTAGGCTTGCAAAGTTATGAAACTGACATAAATATTCACTAAAAATAGTTATACATTAAAACAAAGTTACACTACATGGGTATAAAAATATGTGAGGCATTCCATATGTTTTGAGCAATGGAAATCAGTGAAATGAATGCAGAGTGTTCTAAGAAAAGTGCTTAAAGAATAATCTTCATTACAATATGAAATTTCTGGTATGGTAACTGAAAATAGTCAGTGGCATACTTGGCGGTCATACCTGCTTTTAATAGGCCAGAAGCTCCTCAGCGTGAAATGAGAATGACAAGAAAGACCCATGGTTAGCTCCAAAGTGCCACTTTATTTCAGATCCTTTAAACAAGAAAGAAAAGGAGTGGAGTGGGGCTGGAACTAACTAAATAATTTATCTTTCCCAACATTCTTATTTTCCAGCTTTTCCTCTTGCCATACTAGTGGTTGACAAATGCTGTCACTATTTCTTATAGAACATTTCTCAAATCTATATCTTCAATTCTATAATTAACTAGAATTCTAGCTCCCGTTTTGATTTCCTTGATTTGGTTTAATTTATTTTTTCTTTGTCTTTCCCAGACAAGGTAATTTATTACAACAATGGTGTGTAAAAATTCTACTGAAAAATGAACTATTTGTACTAACTGATGTTGCTAGAATTTGACCCTTTTGAGCGCTGTCTTCTTCCCAACAGTGTGGAACCCCTTTCTCATTTCATAGTTTCACCCAGCATATGGTATAAATGTGTCACTCGGGTGTTTTGTGCACCACAGGTCATCATTAAATCACTGAAAGAAATCATGTCAGTTGTAAAGTTACTTATTTAGCTCCTATGTAAGCAAAGACGAACCATGAAACACTTTTATCCCTTAGTGTTTTTTTTCTTTTAATAAATATCTTTTTGTCTTGACAAGATCCTAATCTTGAAATCTACCATTGATAGGCAATGTTATGGTAAGATTCTAGTAGTTAACAAGCAGAAGCTAAATCTGGTCCATCGTCATGTTGTACTTTTAGTGATGTCTGCCAAATGACATAAAGGTGTTCATCTGTTTCTATGAGCTTTTAACTTAACATAAAATTGTGATGTACGTAGCATACTAAGGTGAATGTTGCAAAGTCAGTTGTAGATATGATTTATTTTTAAATAACTTCTAGTGGATTTTAAATAGCGTTTTTAAAAGTTTGGTATATGTATTTGGAACATAAAAACTATTAAAAGTAGAACATTTGACAAAGAGCATGCTTAACAAATTAGAATACTAGATCTGGGATTTAATTTTCGGGTTGAGCAGTTATTTTAAACAGTGAAAATTAAACTTTTTATTTCTTAATCTTGTTTTTATTCTAGGCTTAGATAAATATTGATATATACATATTTTCTGGTTATTCATTGACCATATTTTTAATATATATCCTTTTACATACATTATTTCCTTTTACTTACTGTAGCTTTCAGTAAAATGAATAACTTTAATATATAAATAATTCCATCATTAGGGATTTCAGTCATTAGGGATTTCAGTAACACAAGGATATTTATCCATCTATTCTACCTTACTTTTGCTTCTCTCTTGTTTTGCCTGATGTGTTGTTGTTGGGAAATGTTCATTGAAGGCATTTCCTTTTTTTTGAGACCGGGTCTCACTGTCACCCAGACTGGAGTGCAGTGGCATGATCTCGGCTCATGACAACCTCCGCCTCCCAGGCTCAAGTGATTCTCCTGCCTCAGCCTCCCAAGTAGCTGGGATTACAGGCACATGCCACTAACACGCAGCTAATTTTTGTATATTTAGTAGAAACGGGGTTTCACCATGTTGGCCAGGCTGGTCTCAAACTCCTGACCTCAAATGATCCACCCGCCTTGGCCTCCCAAAGTTCTGGGATTACAGATGTGAGCCACCACACCTGGCCTAAGGCATTTCTTTCTGTGTAGACCCTTTCATTCCTTATCACTTGAATTATTTACCTTAAGAAAATGGGAGGATCATGTTTACTATAAGAAGATACAAAACACAATACATTTTTATCATTGCAGCCATTTATGTGTTTGTTTATTGCATTCATTCAACAAATATTTATTGGATACCTACTACGGAATAATTCTTAGGTAAATAATCTAGGTTAAGTTTAGGTGATAGCACATAAGTTTTGTTCTATATGTCTCTCTGACTTTCACATTTTTAATTACTCTGGGCTCTGGGGACAAAAAGAGCCTCCTCAAGCTTAAACTCTAAATATTTTACATGTGATTCACTTCCTTCTTCTAGAAATTTATTTGTAATTCCTCTTTTTTCTATATCTTCAATACATTCTTCTCCATTGGATACTTCCTTTTTTTGTCAGAAATATGCCACGGTAGGTGCCAGTAGGTCATGAGGAAGACAATAGGGCACACGTGAACTTCTCATCTCATCTCACTATTCTAAAATAAACCAGCTAACCCCTTCCTTGATTTTGCTATCCTCAGAGATATTACCTTTACTACTTCTAGCAAATTTAAAAAAAGACAAAGGTAATTTTACTGTAACCACTTCTTTATTACCCACCTCATCCTTAATTCCTTATGATCTGGTTTATATTCACAAATGCTGTTACTGAAATTGCTTCCTAAATGTAAAATCTCTTCTGAACATACGGTTTAGTGGTCTTTTTGTAATTCCTATCTTCTCCCTGAACTCTGTAACACTAACACCACTTTAAAGCTTTCCTTTTCTGGCTTTTTTTTTTTTTTTTTTAAACTGTATTTTTCTGGTTGATCTGTCTCAGGGTAATCTCACCCAGCACTCATTCATTCATTCTATCAGCAAACATGTATTGAGTTCCTGTTATATACTGAGCCTTGTGCAAGTTGCTGAAGCTATAATTAAGATCAGGATAGACAAGTTTCCAGCTCTCCCGAAATTTACATTTTAATGGAGGAGGTAGACAATTAAAAGGAGACAAACAAATACAATATTATACTTACAAATTTTATAGTGATTCATCACCTTGTAGTTATTTGTAGTAACTAATTGTGTTAGTTATCTCATTACTATAAAGAACTATCTGAGACTGGGTAATTTATAAAGAAAAGAGGTTTAATTGGCTCACAGTTCTGCAGGCTATACAGAAAACGTGGCTGGGAAGGCCTCAGGAAACTTAGAATCATGGTGGAAGCCGAAGGGGAAGGAAGCACATCTTCACATGGCCAACAGGAGAGAGAGCAAAGGTGGATGTGCTATATACTTTTAAACAAACATTTCCTGAGAACTTGCTATCATGAGAACACAGGGAGGCAATCTGCCTCCATGATCTAATAACCTCGCACCAGGTCCCTCCCCCAAAATTGGGAATTACAATTCAACATGAGATTTGACTGGGGACACAGAGCCAAAACATAACCCTAATGCTTCAAGGAAATAAATTATGTGTTGTGATAATTTCAGAGTGATGTATCAAATGTTGTTGATTGCCTGCCTCTCTACAGTTCTGATTTTTCTTCAAGTATCCGTTCTACTTTGCATGAACTGTGTTTCAGAAAAGGCAGGTTCTACCCCAGCTCCAGGATTCATTCCCAAAGTGGTCTAACTCTTCATGAGAATTCCATTCTCCTTGACTGCGATTGGTTTCGCTGTGGACATGTGATACAGTTTTGACCAATGATACTAAGGGGAACCTACCTTTGAGGATAGATTTTATCAATATGAAGTATACTACTTTTTGCATTTAATGATTTGTCAGCTTGATTTCTTTTTTGACTATTTTGTCTGATTCTAATAATTCCTCTACCAGTTTTTTTTTTGTTGTTGTTGTTAGCATTTACATGACATTTCTTTAATCACTTAATTTTAACATCTCTGTGTCATGGTTTGAAGTAGATTTTGAGTGGAAAAAAATGTCTGGTTTTCCTTTTACCTAGTTTCAGAATATCTTTTAATGGGTAGATTTGATGTGTTCTCATTTATTATGATTACTAGCACATTTGCATGTATTTGTATTCTTACTACATGATTTACTTTTTATTAGTTATGTTTTCTTTTATTTACTGACACCGAATTTTCTGTTTTATTTATTTACTGTTTTTTTTTCTTCTCTCCACTCCCCCTTCCTGTACTATAAGAAATTTCAGTGTTTCTATTTTTGTTTCTAATCTTGCATAGCCTTTGGTTGTCTCTTTTAATCTGAAAATACATGTCTCTCTTCAGTTTTCCTTTTTTCTTCCTAATTTTCTTTTATCTCTCTTTACCCATATTGTCTTTGCCCTCCATTTCTGGGACATCTATCAAATGGACTTTGGACATTTCAGATCTATTCTGTGTATACCTTCATTGTTTTCTTATACTTCTTATCCCTTTGGCCTTTTTTCTTTTAATTGATTCTGGAAGAAAGCTTTAGCTAGATCATCCTGCTCACTAAATTTTTTTCTTGACTTTTCATTCTGCTTATTTGGCACATGTTGAGTATGTCTATTTACCAAGATTGCTGATTTGGGAAGTAGCGGTGTTCTGCTTTGTAAGTGCAGTATTCTTTCTCATCTCATTTTACTTAATGTTTGTATGTTTGTAGCTATACAAACATTAAAGTTTTCTATTTACCATATTAACTGTTTTTTTTCTTTCCATTTTAATCTTTATCTCCCATGG